TGCACCCATGATCAAAGACACGTACACCCACAAATAAACAGCTGACTCTTACACAGAGTGTTACGCAAAAACATGCTTATTTCGTCCACCAAATAATTACTCCATCAATGTTTCATGAGTCTCTCTCTAAAGTTTCATGGGCCAAAAGAAAATATAGGCTATGCTAAAAAAGAGAGAGAAGAAAAATATCCATGCCAAAAGGCATGAGAGAAAAAAAGAAGAGAGAATGCATGCCAAAGAGCACGAAGAAAAGGAAAAGAAAAAGAAAGAAAGAAATAAGATAGCCCATACTTTCAAAATAAAAGGCCATCCTCCAAAAGAGAGAGAGTCATGATTTAAAGGAGTACCAAAAATACTTAGAATTAGGACATTATAAAAATTCCACACACTAGCACGTCTTGATCAAAGTGTATGACTTGCATCACCTTGTGGTCTGGTTTTTGACTTAGCAAAATATGTGATGCAAGTATGCCTCAATTTTATACCTACCCAAAACTTCACCAAAAAGCCTTTAGAGGCAGGATGAAAAGAAGGCAAATATCAAATGCCTTGGTGAGGTTTCATACACATTAAGCGATTGAGAGAATCATTTGAGAAACTTACATTTATTTTGCAAAACTCATAAAACCTCCGGATAGACAGTTGATCAAAGAATGAATGATTGGTGATTCTGTTATAATCGTTCTATCTTGCAACCGCCCAAGAACTTGGAAAAGCTATATGCCCCACAGGGATCAAGGTAAAGGGTGGATAAAAATGCCAACTTTTTTGAATTGCGGAAGAATACTTTGTTATAGGCATGACACTTATGAAATATATTCTGCATAGTAGCAACTCCTGATCAACAACCAAGTACTTAGCTATTTGCTCGGGACGAGCAAAGGTTAAGCTTGGGGGATTTGTTGGCGGTCCTTAACGACAATATCCGACAGCCAATTAATATCCAAAACAGGAGAAATAAACAAACTTTTGACACATATGTTTTTACTATTGACATATTTCCACATGTATTGGAGATTTAGTGTTTTGCAAGACTTATTCATGAAATACATGGGAATATGACCAAAAGGCGCAACTTAGAAAAATGTAAAGCAGAAACGCGCAAAAGAATAAAAGGAGAAAGCCCACCTACACGACAAACCTAGGCCGAGCACCGCCGTGGAAGCTACCCAGGCCCAGCCAGAAGCCCATCAGAGCAAGGCGGTGGCGAGCGGACCAGGCTAGGGTGCGGCCGCACAGCCCCCAGCGCACCTCAGCCCCACCTCGCTCTGGCGGTTGCATGGTGGCATGCTTAGGCGGTTTTAGGTGGTTTCCTATTCCCCCCCCCCCCCCAAACCGACCATCAACAAGTATAAATAGGGGGGTGGTGCTGTCATATAAGACACCTCATTTGGATCATCTACCTCACTACCACCTCTTGTACTTTTACACTTTTTAGTAGTATTTGTGAGCAAGGCAAAGCTATCAAGGAGAGCTTGGCTCCTTGGAAGAGAGAAAGCTTGGTATGAATACAATGAGAATTTCTTCCAAAGTCTTGTTCTCATATTACCAATATAGTTGTGTTTATGAATTAGAGTATAGTCTACATGTTATAATCTTGACATATGAACTAGCATAAAGTTTGTATGTTATGAGCTCAACATGTAGAACTTTATTCTTAATCATTCATATAACTTGTATGATTAGAAGTAGAGCTAAGTTGAGGTGACGGTTCGTCGTTCCTTCGGGGTTGCCCATGTCCTTGCTTGTCGATCCATAGGGTCGGAGTCCCGGGGGGATATGGGTAGTTTCCTTGTACACGAGCATGTTATCCGGGTGCACGGGAACCTTTGGATATGACGGTACTCCACGGTTGAGGGGTAGGTGGCAGGTGGTGACAGCCTTGTCCGTCCTTTATAATCCCCCACGTTCGGGTATTGTGTAGGAGTCTTAAAGTCTCTCGCGCTTGCTGGCAGACCAGTGCTCGGAGATCTCCTCATCCATCTTACACTTAGGTCTAATTCTAACCATGTAATTTGTATGATCATCAGTTGTTCTTTGCACGGCTATATTAGAACATGCCTGCTCCACTTAGGAACATTTTTTATTCTTTGTTTCTCTTTTATCCTTGAGGTTGGCCCAGATGTGTGTCCACTATCCTAAAAATACCAATTTTACCCCTATCATGAACTTCGGTTCACTATGCAAGTATGTAGTCTTGTTCATATCCATGCTAGACTCTTACACCATGCCTTCCTTTGGGAAAATATAAATAACGATACCCTAAATACTTCCGGGTGAAATGCTACAACGATAGATCCGTACGCTTGCGGATATCTTCTGTAATCGTTAAGAACATCGTGTGGCGTTCCTTGGCGGCATCGCTAAAGATTTATCCAAATCTTAGTGATGGTGTTAAGAAATACCAACAGGCATTTCTAGTGCCGTTGCCAGGAATGGATTTCATCTCCATACTTAGTGATTGCGCTAAGAAATGCCAATAGTGGCGGTGCATCTAGAGGAAACTCATAGTTGTTGACGGTGAATGCAGACCATGGAGGAGGACCCTCATCATCATCATCAGCCAGGCATGGTGTTGCCGGCGAGAATGCAGATTTCATTGCAATGCGGGGTGGTGGGACAAATGAGTGTGGACAAGAATTTGAGTTTGCCTAGGTCATGAGGACCGGGGAAGTCCAGGATTCCTGGGATCCGATGACATTGGAGGGTAGTCTCCTGGCGGAGGTGCAAGCCACCCCCAACCTGGGTGTCGCCACGCTGCTTCCATCGATGGCACTCATGCCCACACGTGAGCCTAGCACGTCGCTGGTGGAGGGGTGTGCGTCCTTGGTGGCCCTTTGACATGGCCAGGTTGCTGAACATGGGCTTGACCGTGGGTCGGTGCAGATACCTGCCGAGCTATCTCCGTCTTCCAACGTTGGGCCACCCTCGTTAGACGTTTCTGAGTGGGATGTGGACCGTGATTGCACTGAATGCTCTGATAAGAAGCGTATTCACCAACCCATGGGCTCCCATGCACTTGATGTCGTTCAAGACTTGGTCAACACCCTCAAGCTCCCACTTGAGCACTGAATCGCTTCATCTCCCTGGCCGTATGTCACTCTGACGTATGAGGCGAACACGGATAATGACCTTGTTCCAAGAAGAAGTGGGCGACTCGCAGCGAAAAGAAAATACAAAGCACCAAAGCCCAAGCTTCAAGCTAGAATGGTACTAATCAAGAAGTTGAGCCTCTCTGCAGAGATTGCAGTGCTTGTTGAGGTGTCGTTCAAGGAGTTCTAGACGTCTTTTTTGGAATATTTGGAGATGCTCTTAGCTACTAGCGGAACCAAATAGGGCTTTAATCACAGTTGGTGCCGTAATCGAAGTGGGTTTTAGAAGTAGGAGGTGATGTGGGCTGTTTTCCCATGGAGGTCGTGCTGGCATAGGTTGTCCATGCATGACGCATTGGACGATTTTGGGTGTCGTCTCTCTCTTGTGGTTCCACGGAAATGGCCAATATCTTCGTGTGGAATGTGCGTGGGCCAGCTCATTGCGCGTGCACATCGAAATGTCGCCCATGAGTGTGCGCGCGCTCCTATCAGAGAGCTCCTTAGCGCAAAATCGTTCTTTCATAAATCACATTGTAGCTCTCTTTCTATGGGTACACGTTTAGGTGACTTGACTGGTTGCTACCTGTTACCTATTCGATAAACGCTCACACATGTTGTTGTAACACTCCTTATAAATGTGCTAATGCACGCTCTCGAAAAAGTAATAATGACAGATATGGGTAACTTAGATCCAAATCAGGGCCAGGGCTTACCCTATGTATTTTTCATAATGTATATCAAATGACTGTTGTTGGTGATGTTAGTTACTAGCTACAGCCGCCTATAAGGCCAGATGTTTCTCGATTTTTTAAGAATCTTTACAATTTATCCTTTTTTTTCATGCATGCGTGTCTCATATGAATTAACGTGAAGACTCTGTTAGTCTGTAGGATACCTTCAATTGGTATTTTAATAAAACGAACTAAATCCACATTCATTATATTCCTACATGTCTAATCCCGGTCCCAAAACTTGTTCCAAACTCCATAGCCATAGTTCGTGACCGTGACCTCTGCAGCCCTATTCAGTAGTGTCTGGTCCTCAAATTAAAATTGCTAACCTTGTGGAGTAGGTGAAACAAGAAAATGATTAGAGTGTTTTTTTTTTGTGAAAGTTCATTTCAGTTTTCGTCCCTATTCCTAGCGCAATGTGTTGAGGGAGGAATGGTTGACCACTTTTCTTTTCACCAAATGCTAAGACTCGTAAGTCATAACGTGACACAACTGAAGAACCTGCTATATAATAGTACAAGTAAATAAAGTCAGAAGCAGCAAGTTGTTCTTGTTAACGGATCACACGTTCGTCGACGATGTCCGCACGTGTTTTCAATCGCTTGAACTAATTAAGGATTTCAGCCTGAGATAAACAGAATTATTTCAAGCTGTTAGATTACTCATCCAGCTGCTTCTGAATTTTTATTAGACTTAGCTGGATTGGCCTAGCAGCCAATGTATGAACCTGAATGTGCTTCCTACGCTGGATCACCGGCCACTTTTGCCTGGACGTAACTATACTATATGTTTGTTTCCGCGTTTTGATGAACGATTCATAAAATTGCCTGGTAGGTAGGAGGTCCGGTCAGCCTTCAGCCGTCCATATGTTACATGTCAGCAGCTCCAACCAAAACCTTTAGTTATATGATCACTATTCACTACTGAAACCTACGAACGTAGCAACAACAGAAATCCTCATAGCTTCCAAGCATCTTCATGGTCCCATTTTAATTTCCCCACCATTAGCTATATATAGTATTAGCGCACTCACCTGCATCATTTTGTTCCAGGAGTCCATATAAATAGCCATATCAGCGGATGCATTAGAGACACCAGCAGCTTCTCTTGTCTCTCAAGTCTAGCATCCAGCTTCTGAAGATATTCCGCAGCTTGCTAGGCGAAGTAGCCACACCACATGGATTGTGTGCCGGATCACGAGTTTGCCATGAGAGAAGTTGCACAGGCATACGAGCTCATCAAGAGCCAGCAGCCTCTCCTGCAGTTCTGCGACGAGCAGCCATCTTCGGCTGCGACCAATAATCTGGTGCAGAGGCTCCTCAACGAGGCGCTGCAAGCGTTGCGCCTTGCCTTGTCAGTCATGGACCCACAGCTTCCTGCTGCTGTAACAGGTCATCATTCAAGCTCAACCACAACCAACAGGCCTCATCTCTTACGGCAGAAGAGCTCTGCAGGAGCAGGCGATTCGGAAGGAGTGATGAGCACCATGACAAGGGGTAAAAGGAGAAGGTACGTCGTGTACACGTGTGGAGCTGGTATCACTTGATAATATAATCATTGGTTTAAATCAGAGTTGTCTCCATGTTAATTATATATAATTCTTCCGTTATCCTCCTTTCCTACATTTAACCTTAACTATTATATCTATCTAGTACAACATCCGTTGCAAATTATAAGTCACTCTAACTTTTCTAGATACATAATTTTTATTATGTATCTGGACATAATGTATCTAGGCATGTAACAAAAGCAATTTATCTAGAAAAAAGCCAGAAATACTTACAATTTTAAATGGAGAGAGTATAATATATATGCTCTTCATCAATTCTCGTGCTGGTTTATGGGAAATAATGACAATTCTTGATTGGAATTCAGGTCAAATGATGCCAGTTCACGTATTCTCTTGACTTCCATGCCTCATGAAGATGGATATCACTGGAGAAAATATGGCGAGAAACAGATCAATGGAACCCATTTCACAAGGTACACCTTTTCCTTAGAAACAAAAGTGCTGTCTGCTCCAGCAGGTCTTTTTTTTTAAAAAAAAGAAATGCCAGCACCTTTTCAACTTTCAGTTCCTATATATGCAGCTCTTTTGTTCCCATTATTGTATAGTTTGCCTCGTTTTTGTGATCACCTTGACACTATAATAAAAATAATTAATGTTATGACAAGTACTGAAGTCTTTGCAATGCATTATTATACAGGAACTACTTCAGGTGCAGCTACAAATATGACAGAGGTTGCCAGGCCACAAAGCAAATACAACAGCACAATAACAGCGATCCGCCAATGTTTCAGGTGACCTACAACAGTGAGCACACCTGCAACCACACCACAACTTCCAACAAATACAACAACGACAACGATCTTCCACATCTAAGCTACAGCAACGCCGAGGGAGTAGTGACCATTCCAACTAGCCATGCCATGAAAGAGCAAGAACAGGGACCACTGCCGTCTCTTGTCGAAGTTTCTACCCTTTCTTTGGATTCGATGCCTACTGAAGACCCATTTTGTTTCAGTAGCCACTACACTCTAAATCCTTATCAAGCTGATGACCTAGTGATGGAAATGTCCAACATACCATGTGTGCGTAGTGATGGATATTTAGACATGGGGCCAATGGCGCTGCCTGTGGAAACATTGGAAGATACCCCTTTCAACGATCTTGAGCTTGACGAACTATTTGACAGCAGCTGGATTGACAATTAGGAGATACAAAATGGGCATTTTTAGAGGAGCTGAGGCATGTGTCCGTAGAGATAAAATCCATGAGATAATGGTTGCATGTATCTATATCTATATCTATATTTATATCTATACCTAGCTAATACTCTCTCCACAGGAATGCTAAGCTGCATATGGCATGGTCGGTCATCGCTGCATTTCGTACCCCCTCTGGCCTGCTTCTAGACCAATGTCTCCATCACTTGGTACATATAGGTTGGTACAAATGGCCAAAATTGTAAATTATATGACTTATCTATACTATAAAGGAGTGAAAGAATTGAAAAATCATTGTCACCTAAAAAATTTCCTACCCACCTTAGATTGACAGGTGGACCCACAAGGGAAGGATGTTAGGAACGTATGAAACAAGCGTGTTTCACGTTGTGGACAACTCCTTCTCGACGTTTTTTGTCACCCGCGAAAATTTTACCCACCCGCGTGTACCCGCACCCGCCCTCACGCACCTTTCTGCGGTTTTTTCCCCTCCCGATGCCTCTGCAAAGCCACGCCACCAACCGCTGCCTCCCTGCATGTCGATCCCCTCCCCATCCGCTCGCTCCCCCTCGCCTCCCCGATCCAAATCCGAACCCCGTCCGCTCGCACCTACCCCCACCCCCAATGCGCCGCCGTCTTCCCCACCACGCAAGCCTGATGTGCCGCCGCCCACTTCTCGCGAACGCGGGCGGACGAAGGATGTTGAGGCGTCCCATAGGAGACGCAACTTGCGCTCATGGCATGCCACCGGCGACGATCCTTGCCATCATCTCGATCCCCGCCGCCACTGTACCAACGCAGAGCCCCGCTGCCATCTCGATCCCCGCCGAGGCCGAGCAGGAGTCAGCCGAAGCCGGCAAGACGCACAGGGCCCTCCCCCCGATCCGGCTTCCGAGCCCCGCTGCCATCTTGCGTTTGCTAGGTTGCTCCTGGTCGTGGACGTCAGGCGGGAGGCAGCGGAAGCCGGCAGGGCGCACGCGGCCCTTCCCCATTCGACTTGCCTACATCCACGTCGGATCTGCCTGCATCGGCGTCGCTACGACGGCCAGTGGGTCGCCCGCATCTGCGTTGCTACGAACGGCGAGATACGCATCTCCAGTTACTGCAACACCATATTGTCTCTGGTATGATCTTTCTCTTGCTTGATCTTAATGCACTGTTTTTTCAATGGTTTCATTACCTATCAAATTCTAAATACCCAGTACTCCTTGTTTGTGGGCTTGGTTCTATAGTCATACGTGGATATTCCCAGAAGAGTTTCTCTTGATGTTCACACGTTCCCTGGTTGACATGCGGCTCATTTGTGCAGTAACCTTCACCCAGCCTATTTTTGGTTTGCTTTTGTACCAAGACATTTATGATTTGGAGATTACTGGGATCGAAGCATCGCACTGACTCTGGTGGTTGATTGGGTGTTAGATGGGAGGCAAATTAAACAACATAAGTGACAGAACATGAATCTAAGAGACTAAGATGCATATACATTTATAGAAAAAAATTTGGATATATCTTTCAGATGCTCTGTAAACTGTTATATATAGCTGCACATGAAACTGGAACAAATTGGATGGTGTATTGCTCCAAATTAACTGAAAAAAGAAGTTCCTCAAACTATTCTTCTAAGTTCTTCATACAATTCATACTGGCTTACTGTACTTGGAGATAAGATGTACAATAATGTTTTTAACAAGAACAAAAGAATTTGACTCCCAGATCCAAGAGTTAAGATATGTCCTCTGAAACTTTCTTGTGTCCGCATACTTGGAACTCATGACCCATCAAAGTCATGCTAAGTCTCAAACCATCTCAATACATTTTCAGTCCAGTGGGTTAGTTTGATCTCACTTTGCAAAGTTAGAAAAAACATGGTTTCAGTTTTCAAATATGATTGTTACCAATTTGTTCTCACTTGTGACTAATAAAATCACAGGAAGTTACTCTCAGTTTCAGTGTTACATCATATTAAACATTTTCTATGAAAACATGGGATGCTATGTCTAAAATCTAATATTTTGATCAGTAATCTTTATTTAATCATTTTATATTTGGACAATCTTGACATAGCTCCCACAGCTGGAAAAAATGGGTAATATTTGTTTTATTTGTCATAGAATAGTATGGATCCTGATGTATATATTTAACCTTGACAGTCAACAAGAAAACATGAAGCAGAGAGGAGTGCCTCACTGAGGTTTGTTCAGGTTCCAATTTATAAAACGATTGTTGTTCTTCATCCTTTGTCGTTGTCTTATGGTCATTGACAAAAAGTTTTTGGAAGTGACTTTGTAGTTGCATTGCTAATGCTTTGCTTTTGTGTCTCTATCAACTTTTCCAGGCCAGAAAGAAACTTGAAGAGGCTTTCCAGCATGGGAAGCATGCTATTGATGATTTAGTTAATGTTGCAAAGGTATTAACTACAGTTATCTTTCTTATGTTGTCTCTTTTTTTGCTGCTGTTATTCAGGCTTCTATTTTTTTTAATTTGATTTATGGCTAATTTTTGAGTTACTACAGGCTTTGCGTTATGTGTCTGTTGTTTATCTACATATTCCAATATAAGGGGCAGAGGGCTTCATGCGTTGGGTCCACTTTATTAGACCGATGCAAGTAGAGGCCACTTTCTTCTGCAGAGGGGAAGTAAAAAGAAAGGACATGGAAAGACAGGTAGCTGGATGAACGATAGTTCTTGTGAAAGAAAGTTACCCTTTTAGTTGTGGATTGGATTTTCACCCTATCTCACACTGGGCTGGAGGCCCATTTACGTAAGTTGAGCGCTCATTGAATGGACGAGCCGGCCCTGCCCCATTTCGTCGTAACGAGACCAGCAGGCAGCAACCGCCGCCGCCGCTAACCGTCGATGCCGCGCTGCTTGGCCCCAACGCCTCTTTATCGCGCCGTCCATGGCCACTGCGTCGCGCCGCGCCCTCAGCCGCTGCCGCGTCGCCAGTTGCTCACGGCGGCCGCAAACAGGCGTTGAAGCTCGTAAGTTCGTAAGTCTGTTTCTCCTTGAAAATGGCTGCTTTCTTCTTCCTTCTCGCTGATCCAATCTGGCAGAGTCTTTGCCGGAACGGTTTGCCGATACGAAACGAGTCTGCGTCGGGAACGGCGTGCAGTCCGTTTTTATTAGGTTCTGTTTTTTTTTTGTTTTTTTTTCTACGTGTGGCCTGATTGATCGCAGGCGGCGCGTCGGTCCGCCGGTTGATGTCGCCCGTCCGTATATTTTAGGCGTAGGGATTCTACGCAATCCAGAGAGAGTCATCGTCGATTTCCATCTTTGGCTAACTAGAAATCCAAATCAGAATGCGATATCTATATTTGGAGATCCAATTAAATAAGCTATTGGAGAGTATTTTTTTTACCAAAATCTATATTCTTATAAATTAGAGCATCTCCAAGAGTATCCAATATTTTCTTCCTAAAACCATCAAATTTTACAACTCTAAAAAATTATTAGAAGAAATAAAGAAGACCATCTCCAAGAGTTTCTAATAATCCACTCCTAAAATATAGAAGACAATTTTACATCAGGAATCATATACTATTTCTAAATTATCTTAACCAATTTTATATATTATCTCTCTCTTATGCATTTGCATCAGGAACCTTTTTCTACTTTTTATTCTTTCCACGTCCTTCCATCTTTAGATTGGCCGACAAACACACATGGGAGAAAGAAGATACGCATGACTCAAAAGCGCGTAACTTCACGCGGAACTTGGTGACTTTTTTCAAGTTCTAAAATATTAGGAGGATGAATTAGGAGTTAATGGAGATGAATTTTTTCTCATCTTACTAAAAACCAAGGATTAGGAAAGAATTTAGGGAACTCTTGAAGATGCTCTTAGGAAGGTTATAAAGAGTCTCTTGGAGTTACTCTAAGACGTTTTCGTTTTTCTATACATAAGTTTTGCTAGGCACTTAGATATACACTAGGTTTAGATAAAGCAATGTATTAAAAAACCAAAATTCTTTTATAATTTGAAAATAGAGGGAGCAGTTTATTAAGCGTGCTTTAGAATTCATACAGTCTTTTTGGAAAGAGCACCACTAGGCCATTTCTCTTCAAATAAATGGTGTTATGAAACATTTTCATGTGAATCACCCATCTTTGTCTCTCAGTTACATATGCTAGTATGCATTAGTATTCAAGTGATTATATTCACTATCTCAGAGTAGCCCTTCACTGCCAGTTCAACCCCCCTATCACTGCCGGAAACAGAACCAGCTGAAGGAAAGTGGCAGTAACGTGGCTTACCGGCGGTGATACAACACATCACTGCCGGTTCGTAAGATCAACCGGCAGTGATATCCTCATGATCATTGCCGGTTCAAGGTAACAACCGGCAGTGCTGATTTGAGCAATACAAGTTACAAAAGCTAGTATTCATTCAGTATTCAAGGGATCATTACTCTGAAGATTTAGAGATGCATTGATGTTCCAGTGATGTTTTTAAGGGCATGTTTGGTTGGGCTGTGGCTTTTACAAAAGCTGCTGTGAAAGGCTTTTGAAAAGCTGCTGTGACTTATGTACTTTTGAAGAAGCTCAAAGCCCTTTGGTAGCACAAGGGTAGCTTCTGGAAAAAGCAGCTGTCCACGGGACCGACACGTCAGCTGACCCCACCTGTCAATCTCTCACTTGCTTGTCTTCTCCAATCTCACGTATGGCACTGCAGGGGACAGGTCGCCGGGAGGCCGCGCCACCGTCGAGCAGCACTACAGGGGAGGGGCCGCGCCACTGGAGGGAGGGAGGAGGTCGCGCCTGGGCTCCGGCACGCGAAGGGAGGGAGAAGGCTGAGCTCACATCCATGGAGAAGGGAAGGTCGCGCCGCCTGCTCTACCTCATCTTCCCCAGATCCGGCAAGGAGAGGTCGCGCCACCCGCCTAGGGCTGGCCGCGCCGCTCGCCGGGGAGAGGACCGCGCCATCCGCCTGGTGCTCTCCAACCTGGCATGCGGTGGCCGGAGAGGAAGGGCCGGCGTGGGATGTCCGG